CTGGGGGGGGGGGGGGGTAGAGTACAGAAAGATGGGGTCAAGGTGTGATTGCAACTGCATGATTGAAGCCCTGCACCTTTTTTACATGTGACATGTTGCACGGAAAAAAAAGGAGCAGGGACTCAACTGTGTGACCATGGTTGCCATTTCGACTTTTTTGACCCTCCAAAATTGGTATGCACTGGGCTTGAGGTTAACTTGCCTTACCCATGATTTTTACTTTTAACAATTTCTCTTTCTCTCTGTCTATGCATCTATCTATCTATCTATAAACACACGTATATATGATTTATAAACTAGGAAATGCAGTTATTAAATTGCTCCTTAAGATAAAAGCTATTTGGTTGCCAGGAAAATTATAGGCTCTCTTACTAATGAGAAACAAGTCATTATGAGTTCTCTGCTTTACTACTACACTTCTCTGTTTAAATTTAACCCAACTGGAATAACACTTTAAAGCATGTCCTTTTCCAGTGATAACTACCATTTGTTTAGTTTTTAGCAGTTAATTACCACATTTGTCATCAATTCCTGACAAATTCCAATTTCGTATGGATTGCTGCATAGACCCAAATAAATGTCTTATGTTCTGTACTGGAAAAACAGTTATTAGCTTGCCCTGACTAATTTTTCAAAAGGCTTAATAAAGGCATAAAAACCACTGAGTACAATTTAATGTCCCAATTATCATCCCAGAATTCACCTTCATAGCAGTTAACAGCTAGCTTGTTAGGGCATTCATCAGCCTTGTTTTTGCTTTGGGTCATTAATTAGCAAACCAGTCATCACTTGCTGCTAACAATACATACTTGATGGGTTACTGCTTAATCATAGGAAATAGTTTTATGGATGCTTATATTTCATTTCACATCCCATTTGTAAAATGGTTCAGATACCTTATTACACTACACAGCAATAAAAGAAAAATCTTCAGAATATATAGTTCACATGACTGAGCTGGACGGTATAATATCTCTTCAATAAAATACAGTTATACCGTATTTGAAACATATTTTTAAACACATCATTAATTGCTCAATTTAGTCCAGACTACACAGCTCTTACTAAGTGACATGACATCCAGGATGCAATTAGTGCATAGCTCACTAGAAGGAAGATTGTAACTCTTTCTGTTTTTTTTTTTTTTTTTAGCTGTGAGAAACTCACAAATTTTAGAAGGGAAAGTGGCATCTTTACAACATCTGGTAGGTGATCAGATTTCTTCAGAATCCATGGAAAAACATGACAGGTTAGGACAGCTCTAAAAATGTGTAAGAAACTAGTGGATCAGTCCCAGTTCATATAGCAAGAAATGAAAGATGAGTCTATTGTTTGAATTTTGATGTGGCAATATACTGCATAATCTTCAGGAGAGAGGAAATAAACTTTTTTCAGAGCAATATCTCACAAAGCATAAAGCAATGTATTAGAGCAACATAAAGCAACATAAAGCAATGTATTAGGTCAATCTACCTCAATGTGATCCTCCACATATCTGACAGTTCCCCTCATCACCACCCAATATGGCCAGGGATGATGGGAATTATAATCCAGCACATTTGGCGGGTGGTAAATTGGGTTAGACAATAGTATATCATCTCAAAAACTAAAGGCTACTGTGTTATACTCTTTGGTCTTTGAAATTATCACAACTTATTAAATCATAACCATAAGTTGATATTTTCTTAGACGTTTGTTGAAAATGTACGGCATTATGTGGTGGAATCCATTACATGACGAAGGTTCATGTTGTTCTTGTTACTGTATCCCTTTTCATTCAAGGACTCAAGGCAGCATACACAATGCTCCTTCTTATCTTTCCCCACAACAACAGATTGTGAGATAGTTGGGCTGAGAAAAAGGGATTGCCTACAGCCACCCCGTGACTTTCCATTGCTGAAAGTGGACTAGAAATTGGCTCTCTCCAATCCAGTGCAACAGTTCAAGCACAATACTTATGGGTAGAAATGCACACACACACATATCGGTAGTCCCCAGTTTAAGAGCGAGTTCTGTTCCCAAAGTCTGTTTTTAAGTCGAATTTCTATGTAAGCCGAAACAGTATTATACAATATAATTGTATAATATTATTTTGGCTTACATACACATTGTATAATACTGTATACAATTATAACTGTATAATACTGTATAAGTAGTATTGTGTAATTAACTTGAATTTTGCTACAATAGGCTCTTTTCTTAACTACGGGTCATCTTTAAACCGGGGTTCCTAACCTGGGGGCTACCTGTACAGTGCAAGTAAACCTATTTAACAATAGCATAGGAATAATGAATAGAAAAGGAAATATAATAGACTCTCCTAAAGCTTAGCAGTGATGATATACCATATTTTTGATGTTTAATCTTTGGTTCAGTTTCTAATCAGTTTCAAAGAGAAATAGATGCCATGCTGTTAAGTTCTCATAATTATAACACCTCTAGCTAATACTATACTGGATATTCTTATGCTGGAGTTTAATGGGATGGTTAAATTTATCCAGCACAACTAGGTCATAAAAATATTTGCAGGGTAACTCAAGATGCATAAAAAGATGCATTGTTGTATATAAAAAATGAAAGATAGAAAATGGACGTCAAGAGAATGAGATATTTCAGTACCTAAACTTGAAACATACTAGTCCCACTATTCTGATTTGTTTTTGAATCATAAGCTGCTTTTTAGATAACTCAAGGCATTTTGGGGTTAGTTCTCAATAAAAATAAGGAGAACCCACCGGGTTCAGGTTGTGGTACTATTATTTACAATACATTTGGGCAGGGATTAAATACAGGACATGTTTCTGCTGACAGAATTCAGAATTCAAAACTTCAGCCCCCCTCCCCCACCCATGTGCACTAGAAGTCTGTGTTAGAGCACAGTGATCTCCAAATCACTGAACAGATTTTGAGGGTGCACAGATGAACAGAAGAGCAACAATGTATTTTATCTCTGATCATGAAAGAAACTTATTGTAAATGAATATGGTACTATTGTAATATAAAATTAATTGGGCCACAATATATTATTTAATCATTCTCTATATGTTTAAACTGAAATTGAATTCTTTACAGGTTTTTTAGATTTACACATCCAATGATGTTCTTCTGCTGACAAAATGTTATTGGCCAGCACTGACTCCTTCCTTCTCCAGCTACTAGGTGCAGAGCAGTGGTTCTCAGCCTTGGCAACTTGAAGATGCTGCCTGGGGAATTTTGGGAGTTGAAGTCCACACATCTTCAAGCTGCCGAGGTTGAGAAACACTGGTCTAGAGCACAGAGGGGTGGACTTAGTAGAGAATAGTTCTGTTTTGCAAGTACACATTTGCTTGGATAGCATTGGATATATCCATGCTTCTGTTTATCAGAAATTAGAAAGCAAAGCAAGATTACATAAGCAATGCATCCATAGAGCAACATTAAATTTCAAAATCATGGAAAAGCAAAGAATGTGAATTTGGGGCACATTCAGGCTCTTAGATGGACATCCAGCCCTTTTCATGGATTGCTCAGTTGCTTTGGAAAAGAAATGTTCACATACACCTACCCAGGTGGGTTGCTGAGAATGTAAAAGAATAAAAACAAGAAATAGTATCAACTGCAAGTGTTAAAACCATTTTATAAAGAGATTTGTTGGTGCCGTTGAAGTGGTAAATTCTTCTCTTCCTACTTCCTCCGCAGTTACTGAAGGCAACAATAGACTGCGGATACGAAAGCACTTCCCTTCTGAATCAGAATGCACTTTCTCTTGGACA